TCTTTTTATTGTTTGTTTTTTTTTTTCAGGGACTTGTTGTTGCAGTTCTGTTCTGTTTCTGCAATGGCGAGGTATGTGTAAAATTTTAGATTTTTTTTCGGGAAAAATGGTGCTGGTAAAGTTATAAGGAAGGTTTGCTTCGTGTAATGATTTCATTGTATAAATATTTTTTTTCTGCAATTTCAATTTATTCACAAAAGTGTCGAATGCTTCTGTCTCTCAGTCAATCGCATTCTTTATACGAAATTGCAAAATCTAAAGCTATTAGTAATCATCAACAAACTTTTGAAAGTAAATGTCATGGTAATCAATTAACATTTACGCAAAAATAATATAAGCAATATATCAGTTCATGAAAAAACGTCCAATGTGATTGGATATGCGTTGCATTATACAAATATTGACTTTTGATGAGGTCTACTCGTGACTGAATTTTACAAAACTTTAGACATTTTATTCCATCAAATGTATAAACACTTAAAATATAATGTGTAGTGTAACAATACCTAATATTAGGGATGTCAAAATTGTCAATAATTGATATTCGAATATTCGATAGTAGTATTCGAATATTCGATAAAATAAATACATATTGCATTATAATATGTATATGCATGTAACTTCACTCTTGTCAAGCGATACATACGTTTTATGTCAATATTTTGGAATAAAATTTCATGTAGAGTTTTGTAAATGCACTTTTAATTATATTCTTAAAATATTTTACAGAATATATGAAGAGTTTATATCCAAAATGTAATAAAAAATTTTCCCCCCAAAATTCAAAAGATTCTTTTAATAAGTTAATTAATAATATTAATTAATCATCTTACCAAAGTGTGCACTGATAAACCTACAGATTTATACCAAACAGAACAATTATCTAATGGAGAAAGTTAACATTAAAAGCAATTACTTTTAGCTAATTAATTTCATGATAATGATTTTAAATTATGTATACATAAACAAAAATGTTTCCTTTCAACAATACAAACTAATTCTAAGTACTGGACACTGTTATACCTCTAATTAAATGATCAAATGAAGAATTTATATTATTTTAATAGACACACTCTTCACAACTTTACGGTAATCCAAGAGGAGTGTCTTTTAATTTTGTTTGAAATAAAATCTTATTATTGGTCAACCACGAGAATTTGATTAAATTTCTGATAAAACTTCAGTTTTTGCCAGATTTTTTTCTTTTTGATGCTTGTATACTTAAAATCCGAATATTCGAATCATGAATTTATATTCGAATATCAACTCATCGAATGAATATTCGAATATTCGTTGACATCCCTACCTAATATTGATATTTCAACTGCTTGATAACTAGTTAAAAATGGGAAACTATATCATTAAACAATAAATGCTTAACCATCTACTAGTAAACTAGTTTAATCCCCTCAGTATTGGCGTCTGCCATGTTGACACATGTTTTAAAATACACAATTAAGACTATTAGCAAATCTATATGGCTCTTCATTTGAGCGTCAAGACCAATCAGAAAACAATAAATTTCCTGATTATTTCAGGTTCAACAAGAAATACTGAAGAGGTGGAATAGACAGAGAACCATTCGCCGATTCAGCACGATTTCCACGAAATCAACCCGAACCATGTCGCTGGGTTCTACAGTGTTTGTAAAAGACAAAGCAGTTCCGTCTGCCATGTTTAGTGACGTCACCTTAAACGTCAACATTGATGACAAATCAACCTGTCACGTGGGATTAAAAGACTCCCAGTGTAACGGGGAGATAGTGAATAACAATTCTATTGGAAATCCGGGTAATGGAAAGGTGATTACAGAAGAGGACACGTTATTGTGATTGTACAGTTACCAAATGTTTATAGTGATTGGAATTTATTTTATTTAAATGTTACAGTGTTATCAAAGAAGATATTATGACACATGCTCTGTTTTGTTGCTGTTTAAATATACTCATCCATACGTGATATTGTTTTCCTTATTTGCATAAGTATCAATTAAAACTGAAAAGAAAAATGTGCAGTGAAAAGAGTGTAAATTAAAAGTTTTTATTTATAAGAAATCGTTTTTTATTAATAAATTAAGAAAGGTTCCGATTTACTAAATTTCCTAGAAGATCCCTAAATCCGTCTCCAGTTCGTTTAATTAGTCCCCTACCGGTAAAACAGGAGGAGACTATAGGTTTCCTCGGAGTCTGTACGTCCGTTTAGATGTCCTTCGTTCTGTCTGTCAGTCTGTCCCACTTGGTTTTCCGCACATTTTTCTAAACGCTTGTTGATAATGAACTGATTTTTGGTATTTGAGTGTATCTTGATTAGTTACAGATCGACGCTTCATTGGTTTTTGACAAAATTATGGCATTTTTAATAAGGATTACGATCGGGTTTGTTATGCACTAAATATAAGTTCCAAATGAGCTTGTATATCCAAAAAAGAAAAGGGGAACCCCCCTTACAAAAAATACTTAATATAGTAACTATAGTTAATATAGTTTACTCTAGTAACTCAAAGTTCCGAAGTTTTCACCAAAATAAATCAAAGTTCCAGAGTTTTCACCATAGTTAACCAAAATTCCCAAGTTTTCATCATAGTAAATCAAAGTTCCAAAGTTTGTACCATAGTCAACCAAAGTTCCAAAGTTTTCATCATAGTAAACCAAAGTTCCAAAGCTCCAAAGTGTTCACTATAGTAAATCAAATTTCCAAAGTTTTCGCCATAATAAATCAAAGTTCCAAAGTTTTCGCCATAGTAAATCAAAGTTCTAAAGTTTTCGCCATAGTAAATCAAAGTTCCAAAGTTTTTACCATAGTAAATCAAATTTCCAACGTTTTTACCATAGTAAATCAAAGTTCCAATGTTTTTCCTTTAGTGAATCAAAGTTTTATTTTTTTTTTGTAATTACTTAAACAACGTGTATAGTTTAATTTGTTTTTTTTTAAATTAAATTTTTAATAAAAGGGGATGATATTGGGTTTGTTGGAGCTAGATTTTGCTGTTCATCTTAATTAAAATAAAGTAATTAATTCAAAGGCATAAATTACATTTAACAGTAGAAAAAACATATTGACTGAAGTTAAGCAACTGGTTTTATAGTACTTAATCAAAGTTCCAAAGTTTTCACTATAGTAAACCAAAATTTCAAAGTTTTCACCATAGTTAACCAAAGTTCCAAAGTTTTCACCATAGTAAATCAAAGATCAAAAGTTTTCCCTATTATAGTAAATCAAAGTTCCAAAGTTTTCACCACAGTAAATCAAATTTCCAAAGTGTTCACTATAGTAAATCAAAGTTCCAAAGTTTTAACTATAGTAAATCAAAGTTCCAAAGTTTTAAGTTTGATACTATAGCTAGCCATAGTAAGCTAAAGTTAACTACAGTTTACTTTAGTATTTTTTGTTAGGGCCGGTAGTGGACATGCATTGCTTATGCAATATTCCTAGAATGCTTGTGTTATTTAGGATATTATGTGCCCAGAGTAAATATTAAACAGTGCGAAGTTTTGTTAGCGTTACAGCGTGTTGTGTGTTAGCGCAACAGTATGTTTTTCTGAACGCATTGTTGAACTTAAGCAAATGACCCTATCCGGACACCATAGGATTGTTTTACTATATGCGTCTGCTTATTTAGACAAACATTTGATATGAATCAATAAAAAATAATAATCGTTTGTCTCAAAACAAATTCCCTATTGGTTCTTTTCTTTCGATATAGACACATTATACCATATAATGAACGGGATTTTTATTGTAAAATATGTATAAATTGTGCTTATCTAGAATCTTGATTAGGCAGAAGAGTACAAGAAAGCCAAAACAAACAATGTTATTAGATCTATATGGTAATGCATCTTAAGATGAATCTATCCCTATCTCAATTGGAAAGACTGACTACCAAAGATGCAAAGCAATATAACATGTACCTCCGATGGGAAAGCATGCAGAGATACAAGATTTATATTCTGTCACTTGTGTTATGTTTCAATGAACTCCCTTAAAAGATAATCTGTATATTCTGTAACTATCTAACACTAAAACAACCTTAAAATATGCTATTATAGATTGCTCCGATTGGATGCATGATGCAAAAAAGAGTGACTTCAAATTCTTTTTGAATTTTGCATCGTTAAAACTCTTCTGTGAATGAAGTTTGCAAAAGTATGTATGCATTTGATCTATTGCACCCCTTAAATATACAGGGCTTCCTTTTTATACCCTTTGTAATGTATTCTTGCATTATTTATAATTTTTTCGATAAACTGAATTATAATTGAGTTACGGTGTATTAGAAATTAAAGATTTTTAAAAAGTTCAGTAAGATATGAAAAATGGTGCAAAAGAGCTTTTTTTAAATTGAATATTATTATTAATTTTTTTTTTTGGGGGGGGGGGATTTTCGGATAAATTACCGAAAACCTGTATAGCTGCAGTAATGTAGCTTTTCCCTCCTACTTTTGTTATGATGACACATGGCGGGGTACAACTCCATGCAATGGCGTAGGAAGCAAATTCAAAGGAGGGGGGGGGGGGGGTAATTGAGCGATATTCAAAGCAAAAATATCTTGACAAGCAAATAAAAAAACTGTTTCAAAGCACGAAAATCCTGTTTCGGGGGGGGGGGGGGTGCTTGGATTGAACATCTCATAGAACTTTTTTTTCTTAAAGACTACCACTTTCCCTTGTTTGGCTATACTGCAACGTGTCTGTTGAAAGTGATAGGGGGAGGCTAAACCTACGCCCCAATGTTCAATGCCTGTATTTTTTTTAAAAAGGTGGGGTAGGGACCTAGCCCTCCTCCCTCCCCCACTTCGGTTCCGATGCCTATGCCGTGGGGTTTTGTTATGGGGTAAGTATGGGAGTGTTTCAAAGGCATAAATTCATAGGGAAGTTTCATTTGAAATCCGGAGAAGATTTAGGAATAAATGAATAAGAACTTCAAAGTACAGTCAATATTTGAGAGAGAGAGAGAACAAATTTAAATTGTTTCCTCTTTCATTACATAATTAAATTCGCCTCGTTTGTCCAGACACATGTTTTAGATGTACATAGCAAAATTCTCAATACGGCGTACAAGTATATATGACACAGACGCTTCCAAAGTATGTTGTGAATAATAATATTTTAATTTTTTCATTAAGATAACAAAAAACAGAATATATTATGCGAATTTTGCCGGAAATTCATATATACCCGTAAATTAAATGGACATTATCCCTATAGCATATAATTTGCATAACCTCCAAGCAATTTTACCACTCTCACGCAATTCCTAATGTAAAATGGATGAGTGAGCAAAATTACCAAAGATGAATTATGGCAAAAAATGTCTTCTGTGTTTAATATAATTAATCAAAATCACAGGGAATCAAGCGACATTTCGGGTATTTTATGGGGTCAATAGTCGGACATTACATCAATTCTTACAAGTACGCAGATAAATTAGCCTGATTGTCATAGAATAAACAACTGCTAAAGTAGACTTGTATTACAACGTTGTCAACATTTTGTTTACATCGGAGTATTCTGTGAAGTTTACATGATTATTTTGGACATCCCGGACAAATTAAAAAAAAATATGCGTCAGAGCACAGATTAAGGAGATCTCGATTGAAAGTGACAGAGCTAGCAAACGAATTCGAAGACAAATTCATTTCTGATGGGAACGTCGGTGCTGAAACAGTTACAATGTATAGTGAATCGACAAGATTATAATGCGGACTTTTCTTAATGAGTGTTTTATTGACCACTCTGTTTTAGTGATCGTGAAATGTCTATACTATTACTCGTTGTTTTTCGAATAAAGCTGAAATATTTTTTTCATTAGAAATCAGAAAGAATATTTATGAAACAAATGACCATTTTTCGGTAAAACGACTTGATATATCGTCATTCTTAATGGGATATTAAAGTTTATGTCTTTTTCAGCGTTTTATTAGTCCCTTAGAAGATTGATTTTGTTTTTACGAAATGGAATATCTACAAAATGATATGGAACGATTTTTTTCCCGAACAAAAACGAAAAAAAATTAATTCATATTTCTGTTTTGATAAGGAAGGCCAAAGTGACTTCTCGGCTTGTAAAGTTAAGTAAGCCCATTTAAACCTTATTAAGATCTATTTTCACTTACATCTCACTCTTGGGGTAATTGTTTCCAAGAGAAAGATGTAAGGTGCGTGAAAAAATTCTCTCTTATAAGGAAAATATATATTGCACCAGTATCCACAAGCGAAAACAGATATTTTCAAATATAGCAGACATTTACAGTATGAAGGTTTAAATGATATGCAGAGAGCATATTGCCATTGTCTTCAATCATTGATTCAAGCGCAACTTCTATAGGTCCTCTCCTACTAAAGAAAAAACAACTACAATGTATTTCTTTTTCCGACCTTTGACGACAAGACCCGAGTTATGCGATTGCATGTCATATATTATAACTGCAAATACTAAACAACACTTACTGCCTAAATAATTGTTTAGTATGAAATGATTAGTTAAAAAATCTAAATGAAAAAGGAAAATACCAATTTTTTTTAATCGATATTGAAGTAAAAGTACCGATCGAAATTTCTCGGGCCTTTCCGACTCATAAAACCTTATTCTTCCGAACGCTGTCGGAATGCGATTGGTAAAAGAACCTTAGGCTAAACTGATACCATGCGCTTTTTTCGGAATGGGGGTATGTATTAAGAGGAGGTGGTTTCCTTCCAAATTTAGTTGCAGTGTATTTAACTCAAAGTAATGCACATGTTGTTGAAGGTTAGAGTTAAGAGTTCTCTCCCTTTTAGATGTATAGACTTTGAAATTCTTCTTTTTTTATCTTGTCTTGTTAGAGTTAATGTTATAAAATAAGTATTTAATTTCTTAAAGGAAATCCTTTCTCTTTTAATTGATTAGAATGATTAGAAAAAAAAATTATCACGTTGTCCTTATAAAGCTGGGGGTGAGTGATGTTTTCATGGATTTCGTTAAATATTTGAAAATTTGAGATCCGACTTAATCTTTGCACAAGAATAGACACAAAACATTTTTAGCCCTTTGCGTGAGAATTTATTCTATGCGCTTTATAGAAATGCGTAAAAAAAGAAAAAGTAAAAAGTAAAAGGAGCAAAATAGTACACTTCTTGCTTTTCTATATTACTCAGCTATTTGCAAATACCCCCCTACCCACCCCTGGCGCTTCTTTACTTCTCCACGGGCTATTGCTGGTCAGCATACCTTAAAATTAATCCTCAAAATTTAAAGAAAGTACACATTATCAAACATGAATTTTGATTGTAAACCTTACACAAACAACTCCCTTCTCCTCGTAAAATCTGAATGAACAATATGCCAAGCCTGTATCATCATGATTCACTGAATTGATAACTGATTTTGTTTTCGCGGAAATAGAAAGTGTGTCAGGGGGGCTACACCTATATTATTGCATGTTTGTTATTTCCGCCTCCGCTGTCTTATTGTAATACGACCTTCACATGCCGCGATTATCTAGGAATTCACGTTTTTTTTTCCATAATTTTTTTTAAAGAGATAAATGTAACAAGAATGTAAGCGGGCTCTCTACGATACAAACACAATGTTTTAGAATAACGATGGAAAATAAGATTTTTTTTTTAAATTTATAATCAAAACAACCTTAGGTTTTTATATTATACAATTCATGCAAAAGATTTTAAAATCATTTTAAAACAATTCGGAAATTAATTAATGTTTGCAAATGCTTTCATGAATAAGGTTTGATGTTTGGATAATTCTTTCCTGATACATATACATAATCAAGTTTCCGACTACTGTTTTCGATGTTTTAGATTTATATCATATATATAACTAAAGTCTCTAAAAAACAAATAAAACAATGCTACAATTTGACACTTTTATTTAATCTATTTCTATTTCAGTAGAAGATGGACAATAGATAGTGAAATAAATGGACAAAAGCGCTAGATTGCGTGTCAGCGTCCGATCTTCAACTTGTGAGAGCTTAATAATTAGCGGCCTCTCTCGACCCAAAAGTGCAAATCCCCGTTATTTTGTTGATTCTAATTGCTTAAGTGCGTTTTGATCGGGTAAAACATGGAATGATTGCTTTATAAAACGACATTTATTGCCGACGAGCCCGGGTTCCTGTAGTAAAATATTCAAGTTTATCTCTCATGACGGGCAATAAATGAAAATAAAGAGCTTCAGGTTCAAACTCCTCTATTCAGCAGATTATAGAACAACGCCATTGTTTAAAGAGAGATAACTCCTACTTAACCAAGTAGCTCTCTCTCTCTCTCTCTCTCTCTCTTGCATTTATAAATATTCTCACACATTAGTACCTATATGTATGTAATATACCTAGGTTATTGTATTTGATGAAGAAATGTGTTCCTTTTTCAATGCTGAAGAGAAAAGTAATTAAAATAATATACAATCATTTTATTCATGTTATTACGTGTATTATGTACAATTTTTTTTTTTTGCTTGCCCGATATACATTTCATAAGATGATCCTGATATGAACGGATGCATGTGAAGTTATATTGCTAAAACTGACTTACAATTTAAGCTGAATGTACATGTATACGTGTATGTTTTAAAAGTGAATTCATTTGTTTATATACTACGAACACTACTTTTAATATCTTTATACATGACCGTGATGTGTAGTAATTTAAAGCCCGATGTAAAAATAAATAATCCGTTAATAAAATATTAACCTGGTTACTATAAAGGAGTTTACGTGGACTATTTAATTTTACTTCTTAGTCTCGCTACTTATTCTGTGAGGTTTAATTTTTAAGATCGCACTTCGTCAATTTTTTTTTTCATGGCGAGCAAACGTTGGAATTTTTAGCAAAGGTAAGATTGTTTTATAAAGCTGTTGATAAATATGAAAGAACTTGTTAAGATCAAACTAAAAAATGTCACTTGTATCAAACATTCGTCATATATAGATATACGCTCCTGAGTTGAAAAAAATGCAGTAAATAAACTTGCGAAGTGAAGTAAAATTGTTGATATAATTCATGATGTACCAATTAAACAGGGCTTTTGATTCCAACATTATTTTTGAGAATGCTGATAAAACAAAATGATCCTTGTTAAATATAACAATTTTTCAATTTTAATTGTTTATTTTTTTTTTCTAGGCATGCGTCTAATACCCTTTAATATTTTCATGTTTTCTGCAAAGGTTAAATTTTAAGGACCAAGATTGAAAATATGTATTGAATTCAAGGATGTGTATATATCACTGCGTGTTTTTTTTATTTAGAATATTGGAAGATGTGAAAAAAAAACAGAATGAAAGAGAGGCAGATCCTGTCAGCAGTCTTCCTGCTGCTAAATTTGATTCATTACATACATGGTAAGATTCTCTCTCTCTCTCTCTCTCTCTCTCTCTCTCTCTCTCTCTCTCTCTCTCTCTTACGCTAAGCGCTTATTTTTTTTTTCTGAAGAAAGAGAGTACCTTAGCTTTTAATACAATTAAGTTTCTATGTAAACATAATTATTGATCCCCCCCCCCCCGCTTTATGCTTTTCGATGTCCTGTCGAATATATCCATTTAATTTTGAGTAACTTCTTTCAGGTACATGCACTAAGCCGGCCCTCCCCGCCAATGCCTACGCCCTGACAGAGGATAAGACGTCATATGCCGTGGGGGAGAAATACACGATCGTGTGCCTCCCTAGCTACACCCTCAATGGGGAGTCAGACTTGATCTGTCAGATCGGGGGGACATGGTCCAGCGCGCCCCCTACCTGTGTATCAGATAGTAAGTCATGTGTCTTAATACTTGATTTTATAATTTGTTCTATACTACCCCTCCATTCCCCAAAAAAGACAAATAAAAGGGTATCGTTTCTGTTGAATACGATATTCTGTTAAATAAGAGTCAATTTTGTGTTGACGATCGGATTATTAAAAATTGTAACAATAATTTGCCCATTCTGCTTGAAACATAAAAAAGATTTTTCATTAAGTCCAGAAGCTATATGTTACGCTTACTGCATATCAGAGAAAAAGTCTTCCTATACATGCAATAGGTGCCGAATAACTCACATGAGTTTTTTTTTTTTTTTTTTGTTTAGGTATTGTGGATGTTCCATGGTGGGTCCTTTTGTTGGGTGTTGTTGGGGGGTTAATCCTCATTCCGTGCTGTTTACCAAGGATTATATTTTGCTTCATGTAAGTATATATGTGGATCTTTTTATTGCTATAAATTTCTGAAATATATACATGTAAGAAGTCTGGAATATGTAATCATGTGTTTGATTTATGATTTAAAAGAATATTTCTAGAGTTTAAAAAATCTTTTGTGAAAGTGTGATCCAATCCCTAACTTAACACCCGAGCATGACAACAAAATAATTTTATCTTTTGCTTCGTAAAAAATTATTTTACTAATATTGACATTATTGTGGAGAAAGAAAAATAACTCGCGCAACCAGTTTTACAAAGTGGATGTAGTTCGGCATTCCCCTTTTCTGTTTACTACCTTATTGTCCCCCGCTTTCGCGAAAGCGAGGGGACATTAAATCTCATTCGTCTGTCCGTCTGTCTGTCTGTCAGTCTGTCCGTCCGTCACAAAAACTTTAACCTTGCCCATAACTTTTGATTCAGTGGAGCTATGACTTTCATATTTCATATGTGTTTTCCTTGTGACAAGACCTTTCTTTGGTACCACCAAATTTAACCTTTTGACCTTGACCTTGGAGTTTGACCCATTTTTACACAAAAATTCTAAACTTTTACTTTAGTCATAACTTTTAAATGGTAGGTACAAGGACTTTTATATTTCACATATGTATTATTTGTAGCAAGACCTCTTATTGGATATCAACAACTTTGACCTTTTGACCTTGACCTTTCAGATTTCCGTACTTATGAGAAAACTTTAACCTTGACCATAATTCTGAATGGTAATGGCTAGGGCTTTCATACTTCATATAAATAATTCTTGTGAGAAGACCTTTCATTGAATACCAAACACCTTGGCCCTTATAACCTTGACATTTGAGTTTGACCTTCTTTTCAAAAACTTTGACCTTGGCCACAACTTTTGAACAGTACCAGGACTTTCATATTTCACATATGTATTCTTTGTGGCAAGACCTTTCATTTGATACCAACAACCTTGACCTTTTGACCTTGACCTTGGAGATTTTTTGTAATTATGAGAAAACTTTTTGACCATTACTTTTGAATGGTAAGGGCTAGGGCTTTCAAACTTCATATATGTAATTCCTTTTAGAAGACTTTTCATTGGATACAAAGAACGTTAACCCTTTGACCTTGACCTTGGAGTTCACATATAATTTCTAAATAGATGACTTATGATAGGGCGTTTATATTTAGACACAAAATAATGACATATCACCCAAAATGACACCGAAAGCGGGGGACCACAATTCTTTGAATTTGCTTGTTAATTCTAATATCCAATCTTCACCTGGTCAACCTAGCAAAATACACTGTTTACTGAAAAAAATCATTGCATATGCCTTTTATAATTTTTAAAGTTTGGCGTAGGTTTAAAATGAATATATTAAAATTTTAGAATCTCGCTTCATAATTCTTGTAGACATGTGTGACGATCCGCCACTGTTATAGGAAAAACACAGATAGCTACATACATTCTTTGTGTATAGATCTTCAAATACTTTATTTTATGGTATATTGCTTCTTACAAGTTTTTGAACTACACCTTCTGAATTGAATGAAAACAAAAAAAAAGAGTACAAAGGGAAGAGATTATTAGATACTGTGACTCCATGAATATACCTCTGTAGTTTCTTATTTTTCCATTAAATACCTGGTATATTTCCATTTCTATTTGTTCTCTTTGTGATAACTATTTGAAATTAACATGTGTTGATTTCTTGATCATTATACCAGAATATAAATTTTGCCAAGAGATAGGTCAGGAGCCGAGGAGGGCTAAAACACATTTACATCCCAACTGTCTTTGTATCAGCTGACGTTTCCAACTATCGTTGATGCCCTGGCATACTCTACTCACTAGACAGTGATTCCTTAAATAACTTCTTGTTAACCCGTTTTAATACAGGAACAAGAAAAAGAACGGAGAGGAAGATGACGAGAAGGCGCTGTACAGAGGGGGAGAGAAGGGAGGGGGGATGTGGAGGGGTGGTCACGGTAACCCCGTCACCCCCATCACAGACAGGGGCAAGCACCAGCTCCACAAAATGTGAGGAGGGGAGAGAAGTCCTTTTATTATGTGCAGAGAATACAGTTATATCAATTTAATGCTGCACCTTTTTAGGATACTTGGAGCTTTTGAAATTATTTAATCTATTTACACGTAACGAGTCGATGATTTTAATATTTTGTGCTACCAGAAACACAATACTTGGGCAATCACAGGCATGAAAATATAAGATGCTTTCAATTTGTATACTATGAGATGTGGTTAATATTTGGAAATCGATAAAAAAGTACTGAATTATCGTTGTAATTTTTTAAATTTGACTTGAAAAGTCCGCTGGCGGACTTAATAATTTGAAAGTACTTGATGCTTTCTAACTAATGTCACTGCATGAGATTTAAATTTTACAAAAATACAAGTATGGCAAAATTAAAATTGTGATATTCTTCTGTGTTTTTTATCTGATGAGTATTTTTTATTCTTAATTTGAACTGAAGGAGCACGCTAGATACTGTTATCATTTCCAAACACATGAAGGTGAAATACTAAAGAACAAATTCCCTGTGTATACCATAAGTAACATTTACCCTTATTCAAATATTTTGGTTTGTTCAAATATTGTAAATCATGAAAATCTTCGAAATACTTATCGCTTTTTACATTCCATTACTCCATAACCATACTGGACTCGTAAACTCCATAAATTCTTAAACAAAAAAAAAAAAAAAAAAAAAGGAAGAAAGAAAAGAGGAAAGGGAAGAAACACATTGATTGAAGTGTTAGCATAAGGATACGGAGATAACGAACAGTATTCAATCTCAAAGTTCATAAAACAATACAGAATAAGAGCAGTGCAAACACGGACCACCGAAACATCAGAGGTGGGATCAAGTGCCATTGAGGATTAAGCATCCCCTGCCGACCTGTCAAACCCACCGTGTGCTCCTTGTCATGATCAGGAAATAACGGAAAAAATATGTCGTCAATTAAATGTATAAATAATAGACTAACAGTTGGTATGAAAAAATCAGTCAGCATTTGAATCAATTATAAATTGTATTTGCTAACAAGGTCATTGTATCGACCATAGAACTTACGAAATGATGACTTTAAACGAGACTGTTGATATTCTTGTTTCATCAACTTGCTCGTCAATAATTTACCGTTCTCTAGAAATTGTTCATAAGTAGAGCATGCTCTTGTGTATTGTATCAACTGAGATATATACACTCCGTATGCAGGTGATGAAGGTATATTGCTGCATATATAAGTAAGGAAAGTTTACTACAGAAAAGTTAAAGTCGTCACGTTTTTCATATAACTTGGTTGCTAGGCTAGCATCCACGTCTTTTAAAGTGAAATATCCAAGTCTGAAAGGGGAATTCCAATAGATTGTTGGAATACCTGTTCTCCAAAAACACAGATATTTTCAATTAGAAACTCAAGCATCTTCGTTATTTCAACTTTAGAGTACTTCTGTGTAGAATCAGTATCTTTTTTAACAAATGAAGTTTGCAAATGACCAGGTAAGTAAATTTACGAGTTTCATTTTTATCAAAGAAGCAGCTGTCAATGATATAAACACCCTGATTTTGATTTATCATGGGGAATTGTTTTGTATAAAGATGAAAAGTTGTAAATTCTTTTGCTGTTGATTTTGGTAAAATCTTGTGATATCAAATTGTCCAAAAGTTCTTTGGAATTTTTTATTATCCACATCTGTCTCTCACCACTTCTTGAATATAAAGTTGCACAGTACTTTTGAAGTTTTTCCTTCAGTAATATCAATATCTTAGCGAGAAGTAACGAAAATGGCTTCGTTGAACATTTCCTGGAACCTGCAATGTATCTTTGTTTGTAAAGATTGTTATGAAGTTTCGGAGTCCAATATACCCGGTATGTAAGGTAGTTCAAATTCATTTTGGCTCTATTGGATATTAAAAATATTCAAAACTGACAGGTGATTTTGAAATATTTCTTCCTTAAAAAGGGGAGTATGAGTAGGTAAGATATTGAGATAAAACTCATTCATATGCAACTATCCTCTTTTCTCTACCTAACTCTTTCGTCATGCCCATTTTTTCAAAAGTGCATAGCTTAGTACTCGACATTCATGGCATCCGTGATATTTTAAAGAAAGGTATGGAGATAATGAACAGTATTGAATTGAATTGAACATATTTTATTTTAATAAACATATACAATGGGATTGGGCACAAATTCTCAAAACTTATTTCGCCCTCTCCCTACATGGGAAGTTTATAAAGTGTATGCTTCATTTGTGTTACACAGTTTTAGAAAAATATTAATAAATTCACAACATGATTAATAATAAACTGCAAGGACGTATGTGATGGATAAATGCTATGCACAATCATGTATAAAAATTATTTAAATCTGCCAGACTGCTGAATATATGAATGTACAGTGGAAAAAAGATATTCATTTTCAACAACACTTAGAGAAGAATCGCCCCACAGTAACGTATGTGTGTCAACAATGTGAACCTTATAGAATCTCAGAAACTTGTCGAAAAATTCCTTCCTGGCCTCAGTATAGTTAGGACAAGAGAAGATGGTGAGTGTCTTCTACTTTTCCACAAGAACATGAAGGACTGGATATAATGTTACACCTATAAAGATCAACATTAAATGCACAGTTGTGTCGAAGTCTGGTGTGTAATACATTATTACGTCTTTTTCCGAAACTGAAATAAGGTGGAGCTACTGCTATTTTTTGTGCAATCGTTATTTTAAAGGTAGATAGTGAGCCCAAGTTTCTAATTTCTAGCGATATTGAATTCCATTCGTTAACTTAAGTTGGTACAAATGATGAATTGTAATCTACACATGGGTATATTATAGTTTTGAGAGTTTCTTGTTGTATAAGTGGACGCGTTGAAACGTAAATCAGGGATAATATCACAGAGTTAATCAGGAACTAAATTATTATGAATCTTATACATAGTATGTAATCTATGTAGCTTGCGTCTATCACTTAGTGGCTCCCAGCCAGTTTCGAAATATAAAGACCCTCTAGACGCTTAGCCTAATAGAATCAGACCAGTAACAATACGGGCTGCTTTTAGTTGTAATTTTTCTTTTTTTTTCTCAAAATCTGACGATGAACAACCTCCCCACACTACTGAAGCATATTCAAGCTAGGGGCGTATAAATGACGTATACATCAGTGAAAGAGTTTTTCAGTTTAGTTTGAATTTGAGTTTTTTCAATAGACCCATTTTTTGTAGGGTACCTGTAAAGTGCGAAACGAAATAGAAACGAAACGAAACGAAACGAATTGAAACGAAACGAAATCTACCGAAACCTATTGAAACGAAACAAAATCAAAACGAAACCTACCGAAACGAAACGAAATCAGAATGAAACGAAACGAAACCAACCGAAACAAAACGAAATCAAAACGAAACGAAACGAAACCTACCGAAACGAAACGAAATCAAAACGAAACGAAACGAAACCAACCGAAACAAAACGAAATCAAAACGAAACGAAACGAAACCTACCGAAACAAAACGAAATCAAAACGAAACGAAAACTAAACAAAAATATGAAAAAATGTCTAGCAACATGAAATGCTATTATGATTTAAAATATAATAATTAGTGTAATTTTATATATAACGACTGTCTTTATACGCAGTGAAAGATAAAAAGAGATTAATTGGGCGTTTCTAAATGTTTGCATTTATATAAGTATAGATTAAGCTGCAGAACTGTGGTGTTATGGTTCTATATATTAGTGTTTGACCATAACGCTACAGATCACGTACTAGTAATTACAAAGATGTGCAATTTACAGTACAAGATTTACACACAGTTTTGGAGAATTTCTCCTCTTTCCAACATTGGTATTTCATCTACCTTTCCCTCCTTAATTCTAGACAATTTTTATGAATCTGTATATTTCATAAACGTCCCAACCCTTTATAGTCGTCTGTACAAATACATTCACTTGAATTAGAATTTTTCTGCAATGCATAACACAATTCAAATCAAGCCAGTTTATCGCCTGTAGAGGCAACATTTATAAAAGGTTGAGGGAAAGGTAAAATTAAAAAAAATTGGTTCAGGAATGTGTCTGGAATTAGGGGGTGAAAGGTATAGCTGATTTACCAAAGTTTTAAAGACCAAGTGGTTAGACTTTCAGATGAACGAGTTATTGCATAATTACATCTCTCTCTCTCTCTCTCTCTCTCTCTTCTAACTGAGTATTGTAATTTCAGTGTAAATAAATAAGAGCTATATTAACCCCCTACTATTATTCAAAACCAATTTACTATAACTAAGTAACAAAGCGGTAATGTTCTCAAATTTTAATACGAATTTTTCTTAAACATCAACTCCAATAGCAAATAGCTTTTCCTTAACTTCTTTTGGTACAATTGCTTCTGACTCTTTAGAAATTATTAACATATGTTTTTGAAATTCTGGAAATTTTTGTCTTAAACAAAGGTTTTGTAGATGAAAATAAGCATGTTGAAGTTTCTTCTTTTTTTCCCCTAAATACATGTACTCGCGTTCACAAAATTTTTTTTACAGTCAGATCATTCTGTTCCTGGTCTCGATTGAATTTTTTTCCACAACCGTAGCATGACTGAGCTTTTGTTTGAAATAAATAAATTAGCTCGACTTCATTGACATCCTTCTCTTTCTCTATATCATCAAGTGCCTGTATAGTTTTATCTCTTGAAGAATCTAGAACCAGTGGCTCCCTATCCTGCTGGACAGTATAGGATTTCCTACCAAGAGGTTTCCAACCCCCTTTTCTTGGTTTGCGTACGTTGGGTTTATTGCCGGAGTCAATTCCAGCTGTTACTAAATCCGTCAGATTGACTGTTGATTTTTCTTTTTTTCTCCACTGTATAAATTGCTTCAACTTCCCTTCAAATTCAGAAGCGGTGACCACATGTTCGCAAATTTTTGAGGATTTATACAGGTAACAATTGCACTCACACTTTCCCGATTTCTTGAAAGTTATCATACAAGGTGGATTCTTGCCTGTGTGTTTACTCGCAGAATGCTGG